TGTTACTTCAGTGGTAGAACATTTCAGTTATTGATCTGAGACTCTCCTAATTTCCTCTGACACACCTGGACACCAGCATGAAAACTGAAAATGGGGGCCAGCCCATTAGAAGTGTGGCCTGGTGCCTTCCAGATCCTTTCTGTAACATGGGACCATAGCACTTCTCCTTTCTCAGATGGAATGAGGATTACATGATGCACAGGAAGCATTTTTGTTGGAATGGAACATGGAAGATGGCACTGGATGTCTCTGGAGCAGAATTAATTGGTAGCCATCCTGCTGTGACTGTGATCACCAACCAAGAAGTCCACTGAAGGTCTTTGAGTGCTTCCATCTATATGGCCCTAACCTTCATATGTAGCGTCTACAACTTCCCCGTTAGGGAAAGCCCTTGAGCCTGGAGAATGCAATCTCCTCTGTAGCTCTTCTAGTTTTGGAATTATGTCTAGGAATGTAACCTCTGCTTCAGCTGCCCTCTGGTTCCAGGAGACAAAACATCTACAAGAGTACCAAGAAGTCCCTTGGATCTCACACTTGGCCTTTACTTTCTGATAACTCATGCTTAGCTTCTCATTATCTTTCTCCCATGAACTGATGCCAAGAAACAGCATTTAAATGCCAGAGTCTTATAACAACAATTTCCCAATTTATGATCAAGTACCAGATGCCAAGAAAACCAGTTCACTTTTGCAAAGTGTGAACAACAGCACCTCCACCAGAGGCCAGTGCCTGCTCAGGTGCCACTGACCACCAGATCTGACGTCTATATGACCAGCCAGCTGAAGAGTCCCAGGTTCAGATTCACATGGTAGAGCCTGTTTTCCAGATCACTCCTGGAACTGGGTTTCCATAGGAAGTGCCCTCTGTGATGGACATAGGGGATCACGGGGCTTTCTGAAATGTTCTCAGGATCAACATCAGGGTCCTTCCCACCTGAGACAGAAGAAACAGCAACTCAGTTGCTCCCACAGACAGTCAGAGGAAGGGTGGAGCTGTTTTAAGTGGAGGAGAGGGGGGGGCCTTCCACTCCCTGCTCAGGCAGGCTCTGATGCTGGTGCCTTCTAGAGGGAGGAGGGGGCAGGAGTGCAGC